TAGCTTCGTCTTAGGGTTGCCATAAGTCAGAAACAACTTGAAGGCACAACAACAACAATAACAACAACAACAGTTCCTGGCCTCCCCCAGTCTTTGCTTGGTACTGAAAATTGATGCATGTTACAGCTATAAGATAAGCTTTATTGATGGTAAATGATACAGCAGATGGTACATAGCAGAGAAGTATCCCAGCCCTTTGGCTTATGGGATCTAACATCGGAGTTTATCCCACAGGGAATCCAGTGCAGAAACCCTGCTTTAAGTAGAAAAAAACTGCAAAAGCAGAAGCAATTTATTAACGGGATTCCCCAGTGTGAAAAGTGAAAGCAATGTTAAAATGAGGTTAATCTGAATGGAAACTGTTTCTTTTTACTTTCGGAAAAACCCGAAAGTAAAAAGAAGCAGTCAATGAGGGGTTTCCATTCGGATTAACCCCAGTTTAACCTCCTTTTAACAGCGACGTTGTCTGAAAAAACATCCGCTTTTGCAGTTTTTTTCTACTTTAAACCCCTGTTTCCACACGGGATTTCCCCTGTGTGATAAACTCCATCCTCTTCCAGCCAATTGTAGAACTGGGCCAATAAATGATAATTCACCCCAACTATCTCATGAATGGCAGTCCAATCCTCCATGGTTGTCTAAACAAAGTCCTGAGACTGGGGTGCACCACTCTAAATGAGACTGATGGAAGAAGGATTCCCAAGGATTCACAAGCATGACTCATCTGTTCAAACAGGTTGCTAAAAGAGAAATTTCACTCCTTGACTCAGCTCCTAGCCTTCATATCTTTTTCCACTCTTAGCAAAATATATCTGACAAAGTAACTAAATATACATAAACTCTCTCTGCACCACTGGACAGCTGTTAACATTTGGCCATGATGCTTGGGGCAGAGACTAAACAGTGACTGTGGGAATAGAGTTGCACCCGGGAGCCTTCTTACTATTCTTGCACAGCTGGGGAGGAAGAAGAAGAAGCCTTTACCCTTCCCAAAAACAAAAACAAAAACAAAACCCTGTCATAAATACACTGGTAGAGTAAGGAGGCCTGCTGAATCTTGGCTATCACCTTTGCTTTGAGTGTCTCTTTCTCAGCTATAAGGACTCAGATACAGACTCCTATGAATGTCAACGTGCTCAGGAGATCAACCAGACCTTTGGACCCAAGGGTTCATCCCAAGCCTACGACTTCATGCTTGACCTACACAATACCACTGCCAACATGGGATCATGCCTCATAGTGGCTTCTGAACATGACCTGTTACCCTTGCATGTGTGCAGTTACATTCAGGTGAGAATGTGCTCCAGGGATGTATTAAAAAACGTGTTTCTCCACTTTTCTCATGTTGGGGTTCCCCTGGTAATCTGCTTTCTTCTTGACTCCACAGAAGCAGTCCAAAAGGAAACAC